GCCTGTTAACAGTCTTTGCTAAGCAGACACTAAGCTCTACTATTATCTCACTTTCAGCAAGTTCATGAAAAAGGTTTCATGAAAAAAGGAAAAGTCTCTCCAATTCACTGCTGGAGAACACGGCACAAGTGTGTGTCAGCTGGTACGCTGGGTTTGGTGAAGGTTCCTGGCAATGGCATCTCAGAAATCACCACAGTAAGAGCAGCAGGTTTATCAATTTGAGCTGGCCAACTGCACAGCTAAATGTATGTGAAAGTTAACAAATCCCTGAGGTAAATTGAGCCAGATTTCAGCTGTCTGTGTGAGACTACTGAGGTGCGACATGCTGGATTGAACCTAATGCCTGAGGCTAGTGCAATCAAACCGACAGTTGAAGACTCTCCAGTTCCCAGCTGGGGAGAATCTCAACCACACGGCAAATGACTCACCTCAGAGCTGGGGGAGGAAGATGTGGTGACATTGTTTTTATCGACTATTAAAGCACTCTACCAGTGATAGCATTTATATTTTCTTATGTGCTAGAATTGAGGTTATGGTAGCAATAGCATGCCAGTTTACATGCCAGTATGCTGGATTATGACATTCCAAATCATAGTATGTTAATGATAGTTTGCCAGAGGTGCACTGTAAACCCGAAATAAGTTGGCAAAGCTAAATAAATTTGAGGTAATCAGTTACATCAGAAATTCTAAACGAAAATAAGAGTTTAAGGAAGCAGAACTGGCAGATTTTTAATTGTGTACTCGTACACTTTAATTGCTGTAAACTTTAAAGGGTTAGTTCACCCAAAAATGAAAATTATGTCATTAATGACTCACCCTCATGTCGTTCCAAGCCCGTAAGACCTCCGTTTATCTTCGGAACAGAGTTTAAGATATTTTAGATTTAGTCCGAGAGCTTTATGTCCCTCCATTGAAAATGTATGTACGGTATACTGTCCTTGTCCAGAAAGGAAATAAAGACATCATCAAAGTAGTCCATGTGACATCAGTGGGTTAGTTAGAATTTTTTGAAGCATCGAAAATACATTTTGGTCCAAAAATAACAAAAACTACGACTTTATTCAGCATTGTATTGTCTTCCGGTTCTGTTGTCAATCCGCGTTCACGAGTCCGCAGTGACGCTGCTGACGTAAAAGACGCTGCTGACGTGTTATCTGGTAACTGCTACACCAGATAACACGTCAGCAGCGTCTTACGTCAGCGGGTGAGTCATTAATGACATAATTTTTGGGTGAACTAACCCTTTAAATATTTGAGTAATCTAATTCATACATTTAATTTAAAATTATCATGTAATCTCAACTTAAATATCTTTAGTAGTGGAAAAGCTTCAACTAGCTAATTCACTAAATGCTAACTTGCTAATTGGTAACACAACGCTTTGATAGTATTAGCATAGCAAAGCAATTGCTGAATGAATATGGCAATATAGAACATTTAACATATACCTGTTCTCAAACCAAGTTCATGCATCCAAACTCCCCCCCCCCCCACACACACATAACAGAAACTCTTCTAAATTATCTTAGCAAAAAATGTATCACTACTAAAGCTCCCACTCAACGTTAATCTTGCACAAAAAACATTATATAACATTTACATATAATATTAACATGTATAGTATTTTAGCATTTACTCTCTCTTTCGAGTATTCAAGTTAAATTTAAGTTTGTCTAAATTAAAAGAAACAAGCTAATGTCAGTTTTGTGAACTCATTTGAAACAGATGTCAACAAACTAGCTTAGTCTGAAATGTTCTTTTCAGCATTGGGCATTGTCGGATTATGCATTAAACAAGTGGGTTTTTTTTACTCACTTACAATTGTTTTTACCCAACCAGGAGTATTTGGTACCAAATTGTACTTGTAAAGATTTTAATTTAGCTTTTTTCAACCTATGAAAAAGAAGCGTAAGAGAAAAAATTGTAGGCCTGTCAAAAAGTTAAAATTATCGCAATTATCTTTTTGTAGTGAATGTCTTTGCATTCAGTTCCTTTTTTAAGGAAACCTAGCATAATGTGAGAAGCGTTTTGGTGTCAATGAAGAGGTACTAGAGCCTTACTTATAGGGCTGCAGGGGCACATTAGACAAAAAAGGTTAGGAAACACTATTATAGACCCATCAGTAGCAAAGCGGCAGAACCGGGAGAGCGATTCACACGCCTCTCTCGGCAGGAACTCGCTCAGTCTGTCCGTAATGCGTGTCTGTGAGGGGGTAACGTGTGTCCTCCCCTGTGGTTGACTTGTGTGGTGATGCATTTGTTAGCGACGTGAAACAGCAGCAATGACAAGCAGATTTCCTCTGTGCACGTCTCTGCCAAGCGCGGGCCTGGATGTTCCTTCCTGAGTGACTGTGTAAAGTATTGACATCAGCTGAATAAATAAACATAAGCTGGGACTTCACTCCCGGCCGCTCGGATGGACAGAGAAACAGACATGCCGCTCTACGGTAACAGCCCCCTCCTTGCCTTTCTCGCCGTAACCACGCATTTACAGACAGCACAAACAAGGGCTCTCTAATCCCCGACCTCAGCGCAGGATATTTATCTTAGCCGCTAAATAAATTGATTAGAAAGCAGGAGTGAGGAGACTCGTCCATCAGGCGGATGTTTCAGGGGGAACTGCATTAGGGTGCCGGCTAGAGGACATTGCTCTGACCGACCCTCCCCCTCCTTTCCGATATCCGTTCCTCCTCCGCCATCATGCCGATCTCTTCTTCCTCTCCCATCGGAGACTGTGACATAGCTCCAGTGTTTCTCCGGACACCTGCTTGCCTCCCTTTTGCATATGTACACAATATACTTAATGGGTCACCAGCTCTGGCAGAAAGAGCTGATTTTCAGAGGGGGGCGGCGGTGGAAAGTGGGGTTTTTTCGGAGGCCTCGAGTTAGCTGGTCTCTTTTCAGATAATTCAGAGACAAAAGGGGCTGATTTCAGCCCGCATTCTCCACCAAGTAGGCTGTGCGCATTTCCATTTTTTATTTCAACACAAACGCTCCTCTCATCTCTTGTGAAACATTTCAACCCTCTTGGGAGGCTGTAGCGCATTGCCAGAGTTTGAAAAAGTTACCCTTCTTTATTGTTTATGAAACTAGCCAAACTCTATTTTTGTGGTTTATATTTAGCGTGAATGTATTTTTCAGCTTGCGTGATCATTCTGGAAACGTTCCCGTAAGGAAATGCTTCCCATATGTTTCTTTGAATTGACTTTTTTTCCCCTCAGAATTTGATCTCTAAGCACAATTATTTCCATTTAGCTTCCGACCGTTATTGAGTTTATTTGGGGAATTCTTGGGTAAATACCTCTTGACTACTTGAGCTTGTAGTAATTTCTTAAAGTTGCTGGGCTGACAATTAATTCAGACTAAAGTAATTCAGTAGCTCAGTTTAGGACGCTCTCTCTCTCTCTCTCTCTCTCTCTCTCTCTCTCTCTCTCTCTCTCTCTCTCTCTCTCTCTCTCTCTCTCTCTCTCTCTCTCTCTCTCTCTCCTCCAGTCTGCTCTGGAACGCAGAGGAAAGGAAGGTATTTATGGACCGTATTACAAACCTGAAATACACTGGAACAGTGTTATGAGATTTTCGAAGTCCAGCTCCGTAACGGTTTGAGCGTTTGATTTAGAGTCGTGTATTGAGTAGCAACATTTTTCCAACCTTCTTTGGTTGTGTTCGGTCTGCTGTTTGACATCATGTAGCGGGATAGACTGTAAGCACACAAGGCAACAGTGTTTGTTTGTAGGAAAATGTTATAAAAGTAACATGGCAGGTTTAATCGCGTCTGTCCTGCGGTCGTTCAGGATCCACTTAGTTAAAGTGACCTAGCGCGTGTGGGCCGGGAAAACCTCACACTATGGCCGACACGTTTCCAAATGTGATTTTCCACCCGAGTCACATCGCTCACGCTCTCCTTCCTAAGATTTTATTGGAGCTGAAATCTAATTTATCATAATTCAAACATGATTCAAAGCACATGTCTTTCAGTTGTCTAAGCCATTTGTTTCATTCAAATATTTGCTTTGCTGGAGTTAATCCCACATCCAGTAAATCACATTTCAAAGCTCTGCGGCATTTCAGATGAACGGCATGATGGATGTGGACTGGACGACGTGTGTGTTTTGATCAGCGATGGGCGCTTTAAGCAGGTGTCAAACCGTTTCTAAACAATGAGCTCGCTTAGTCTGATTTACGTTACTAGCAAACAATTTTATAGAATCGTGCAAATTAAGTGATTTACGAGACTAGCTAAATATTTTGGAATCCGGAACTAGTGTTATTTGAAACATGCTGGCACATCGATTTTGTACACTTTTGACAGGCCTGAAGGATTTTTTGTGTCATTTAATGTGTGCTAATGTTATTCTTTTAAATTGTGGCCCCAAATGTCTGCAAATTCATCAGATGTCAGGTTAGCATGCATATCGTTTAGTTTCATTTCCAAAGTTTTATTTGCATAATGATGTTAGCTATATATTTAGTCTAGCTGTCAGCATTCAATACAGGGAAATCTGTAAGCAGTTTTTATAAGGAAATTTTAATAAATCGACAGTCTTATAATTGGATATACTATTGTTACTCTTATAACAACAACGCAAATAAAACGGCACATAGGCCTTATTCTGATTAAAGAGTATGAGGGCACATACATAAAAAAATAAAAATAAAAAAAGCACGGATAAATACTGCAGTATTCCACAAATAACAAAAATTCATAAATTTTTTAAAACCGTCTTAAGGCCCGTTCACACCAAAAATAATAGCTATAAAAATAAATATATTAGCCTCCACGATATCGCTCTGTTTATTCTTGTCTGTCACTTTAAATGTTCGAGCTCTTTACAGCAGGATGGATTCTGATTGGCTGTCAATGTTTTTATCATTCATCAGCTGGATAAAAACGTTCTGAAAGTGATTCCAACGTTTCTCTGTGCCGTTATCGTTATAGCTGTGGTGTAAACTTTGCTATCCTTTAATATTGAGAACTATTTCGTTTTTGTTATCTTTATAGTTATCGTCCTTGGTGTGAACAGGCCTTTACGCATCCAGATTTTGACCCAGAAAGTCTGTCAACGAATCAAAAGTGAGTTCAGCATTTTCATTGTTTAGTTTTGATCACATTAGTGTAATGACGTCCGATAAATATGTATCCATCATCTGTTGACAGAAATGTAAGGGTTTGACTCAGAATTTGAAATGAAACAACTAAATTCTCAGGCTCATCGTCAGATATGATAATAATAATAATAATAATAATTCATCACATTTATATAGCGCTTTTCTGGACACTCAAAGCGCTTCACATAGAAGGGGGAATCCCCTCAACCACCACCAATGTGCAGCATCCATCCATGATGCCTCTAGTGTGTTTAACGTGTGAGTTTAGTCAATCACACACAGCTCCGTATGAATTTTGAAGCATCTGCATTATACATTGCTCTCAGTACTGAAGCAGCCGTGAAAGATGAGCGTTTAAACTGCGACGGCGGAGCGGGATCCTGCTATAGCAGAACAAAGGATTGCGTTTCTCTCCCTCTCTGTACTAACAGCATCCTGCACACTGCTCCTCTGTGACTCCAGAGCGAAGGCATTCCCGCTCTGTCATGGGAAAGTGTTCGCGGAGGAAGAGAAGAGCTCTTCCACTCCAAATCTCCTTTTGTCTGAGGACCCTTAATTGGGCCCCTCTTTGAAAACCAAGGTGCTAAAAGAGGGACTTGAAATTTATTTTTCCCCATCAATTAAACAAAATGAACAATATGTTCTCAGAGAAAGAAAATCTCCTCGTCTCCTTGTGCACCTGAAAAAAAAAAAAAAGCTTGTCTTTTTACACGCGCGCCGCACACACATACACACAGAGGCTGTGGGAATTTTCTCGTCTCCCCTAGTGCCGGAGATATTGGTGCCCGTGTAAGAGGGGCCTGTATTTACAAGGCTTAGCGTTGTCGGAGCGGCTGTGGACGGTGGAGATAACCTGACTATTACAAGCTTTGTGTCTGTGCTCAGAGATGGCAGTCAGCTGCCTCTTATTAGGCCAATTTAATTAGACTCATTTCAATAGAATTAATTAGTGCAGTGCCACAAGATTTAAAAAGGAAGGTGATTGAAGTCGTGTGTTTTTTCTCGCCTCTATAAAAAGCATTGTTTCATAATTTAATTTCAGAAGTACTTTAATAAGATCCTGGATCTTTTAGCTCTGTAGAAAAGCTGTCTGAAACCATTATAAAGGTTTTGCACTTGCATTATTCTCGTAATTGCACCGCATGCTGGTATAAATGTCACAAGTTTTTCATTTTAAGTCAAATGTAGAGTTTTTTTATTGGAACTTTTTATATACAGAAGCCCAGTTTTAACAATCCAGTAAAAGAAGTGAGACCAATAGCACGGTTTGCATGATCATTACTGCTAACTAGATTTGCAGTGGTATTTTATGAGATTTCTGGTAAAAAAACAACAACTAGTTTGTGAGAAGAAACCTTCATTCTTTTGCTTAAAGTCATGAAATTAAAATGGACCCAGTTTACTTTTGAATAAATGTCTCTGGAAATTATGTAATCAAGGCCTTACAGGCAGAGAAAAATATAATAACATTTTATTTAAAAAAATATATAAAATTTTAATCAGTAATATAGCACACTTTTCACATCGCAATCACATTGCTGTTGATATGAATATTTTATCAATATTCTTTATATTCTGTTTCATGTTTCAATGCCGTTTGTTGAGTTTTCTCTACAGGAATTGTCTGGGTTCATACAAGTTAAGCTCAGCATTTGTTGCATCGATTATTGGAAAATTAATTAAAACTATTCTAACATTTCTGGTACACTAAGGCAGTTACTTGACATGTTAAAATGTGACTAGTGCTATAAGATAGCTTTCAACTTTGTTGTAATGATGACAAAGATACCACAAAGTAAGTTAACCTAACTTCCTTGTTTACTTCAAGCTTGCAGGTTTTTTGCCAGACTGTTGTCTAGTATCAACAGAAGAATATAAATGTCTTTCTATTGTCTGCATATGTGATCTGATGATGAAAACCAGACAGAAATAGTCTAAATAAAAGCCGTCTGCTACAACTTAACAACATGCCTCACTATGATGTACTTGAACACCCACAGATATACTAGACATCCCACCGCCGCGAGTATGCCGATTTGATCAACTTTATAACACAAATAATACATGTTATGTGCTGTAAGTGCTTTAACAAAAATATGACCTTTACGTTTAGGTCTCACTCTAATTGTGATTTTTGCCGTTTTAAATGAAACAAAGAGAGTTGAAATAATTTTCTGTGGTAATTTGTATGCATCAAATGCTGTTCAATGAGCTAACGCAGATCATTCCTGAAGTGTTAAATGTCAAGCACATCTTCAGAGGGTAAAGTCGTTTTTTTTAAAAAGCGTTTGTTGTTCCTTGTATAACCTGGCTCTCGAGCGGTTGTGTTTTGTTGAGTATCAGCGCTGCGGTGAGCTCAGTCTCACTCTTTAGAACCGGTGATAGCGGCTCTGCGGGAACGACAGCACACGTGCTAAAGAAACGCGTCCTCTGCGCTTCATTCTACAAATGTCAACTCTACCAAACAACAAGAGACCCCTCTCTGTCCTGGACATGTGTGTGTGTGGATGGGATAAACTCCTTCTGTTTGATTTTTATTTTTTCCCCCCATCTGATTCGGCAGTACAAGGCCATCCGGCGCTCTGTCAGATATAAATGTTGCTCTTTGATATACACGGGAGTCTAAAAGATGCTGGTATTTGCGACTATAAAATGTCTCATCTCAGCACGGCAGCTTTACGTGTGAAATGTACATCTCTAGAACATTTGATATGGATATAAGTGGAGAAATTTGAGGAGATTTACATATTCCACTCTTGCTCCGCTCTATGTGGTAGGTAAATTTTTAATCAGTACAGAGGAAAAATTAATTTGCTATCCCAGAAAGGAGGAGCAGTACCAGAGGGATGCTTACAGTTTCATTAGTCGTGTTTTGTCAAAACAGCACCAACTGGCAGAACTAGAGAGAGAGGAGATAATGGGGGGAAAAATACAGGCACCAAATATCCTGTATACAGGAAGTTCATATAGTTTGTGAGCAGGAAACCAATGGTGAACGTGGCAATCAGAGTATCGTGAACGCAGTGATGTGAGATGGCTCACGCTGAGTCTACACTGCAAGCGACCAGCTTGAGGCCCGTCTGCACTGAAAGCGCGTAAGATGCACGTCACCACAGAATGTTTACTAACTGGGTTACTAGGTTGTGTTAGAAAAGGTACTAGTGCTCAAGCAGAGAGGGGTTTTCCAATGGCAATACCAATAGAGAAGTGGATTAGAAGATGACTGATACAATGGCAAAAGTATGGTGCTTTAATTTCATTAAATCAATTGATATTTACATGTATAGCCTAATTTTCTAAAATATTTGGAAGGAAATTGTACATTATCTATTAAAACGGCTGTTTTTGAGCTGACACAAGAGAGAGATAATGCTTATTTAAATTTGCCAAGCAGTAATGGCAAAATATAATTTGAATTGGCCCAGTGCTAGTTATAACTAAACATTTTTAGAAAAAGATTATTTAGTACTCTAGGTCAGAGACCAGAAACGGGTTTTGATTCCAATTCCATTTAATGATTATTGTGCCTTCATGATTTCATTAGGAACTCTTTTAGTTCAGTGAATCAGTAAATCAGGAGCCTCTCCAACCGATTCAGTCAGCGAGTGAGTCATTTAGCTTTTAAATCTTTTTGACTGGTTTAATAAAAAGAATCAAATAGGAATCACTCGTTCACCACTAGTCACAAGCCATACAAGTACATCTCAATGGAATTTATTTAGATAGAATAAATAGAACAAAATAAATCATATTCATAAAAATATTACTATAAAATATAATGATAATAAACGAGAATTGGGTTTTATCTGCATGTATACAGATGTTCAAGAACTATTAATGGTGTCATGAAAGTCTTTCAGTTCCAATATATATATATATATATATATATATATATATATATATATATATATATATATATATATATATATATATATATATAAAAAATTAAACCAGTTCTGAATGAGAACCAGTTTTTGTTTCCCAACTCTAGTCTCACTGTATCCGTCCATTGAAGGCATGATGTCAGATTTCTGGAAATGCTGCAGCACCTGCACCATCTCTCATCTCTCTCTTTCTCTCTCTCGCTCTGTTGTGTTCCTGCTTTCAGGCGAAACTTTGCCTGGAGAATTTTAGATGTGAATCGCATCGATATCCTCTCGGAGAGTTTGATTAATTATATAAGGCACCGTTCAGGGACGCGTTCCCGCAACCTGTTTAACTCGGAGGGAATTCGGCATGCAGACAGATGGAGGGAGTGATGGAGGGGAAGAGAAAGGCGTTCTTGCCAAACCTCTGCTGAGGGGGAAACAATTTAGAGTGTTAGCAACTGCCTGATAAGAGGTTAACAATAGTGCGAGCTTTCCTTCTCTTCTCTCAGAGCCGTGCGGGACCATAGGGAGGAATCCAGCAGCACCGCCTGACAATCACCCGCTCTAATGTATTCATATATGGAGACACGGGAGCGTTCGCACGCCGCTTTACTGAAGTGCTCCATGAGAACGTGCGGAGTTTGTTTCTAGGGAGTGAAATAAAATGTTAAAAAGAGATGAATAACAAAGTAAAGAGCAAAATGAAAGTTTTCTTAAAAGTCTTTTGGGCCTCTGCGGTGCGTATTTGCTAAAGAAACGCTCGCTGGCAGCGCATCAAACGGCAGCTTTCTAAATTGACTGCACCGTTTTTGGAGTGCGCTAACTTTGCAGAGACGTATTCTTGGTCACTGTTCTTAAAAGGCAACATGAAATTGACTCTGTTCGCATTATTGTTTGTTTTCATAATCTTTCATCAAAAAGTAATTACTTACTCCTTCTCTGAAACAGCTTTTCTTTTCTGCTGACAGAAAAGATCTGCTGGGGTGTGAAAAAGAATATTAAACTAGATTTTAATGTTTTTTTGTTTGTAAAAAAAAAAAAGTAAATGTTACATGCCCGTGCAAAAGTCGAACCACAGTGGGTTGTCGGTGTTGCT